ATTATTATTATTATTATTATTATTATTATTATTATTATTATAGTCGCAATCCAGATCTGTGTCGAAGATTACGCAAGCAGTTATTGGTTTTCGTTTGAGTTTCCCTTGTTCTTGTGATTCTCCTGTAACATTTTTTCTTTGTAACGCTCCTAAATTGGAGAAACAAATTCATGCCTGTAGCATGTTCGAGGATTCTATTCTTGAAGGAGGAAAGCACATGACACAGTCACTAAAACATGAAACTCTTCATGGATGATATCAGCAAGTCAAAATTAAAACAACGATATAAACACGAGCTTATCTCAGGTCTTGCAGTACAAAAATTAGTTGTGGGTTTTTAATGGTTAACAACACTGAACATTCAAAGTAAAAAAAAAACATTACCCTGGACTGGTAACTTGCAATTATCTCCAGATAGTCATTTTATTATTCCGATATTGTTTTGAGGCTAAATAGTTGGGGAAAAGAGGATTTTGCTAATGTAGCTCTCATCTTAATTTGGCCTGTTTACAGAAAGCGGAGCAATTTCAAAGAAACCTTGCTTTGACCTCTGGGTTAATGGATTTACAGTTCTCACCCGACACGCCAAGACCACGTGTTCTTCGCCTGACTCAGCCAACTTCCAGGGACGTTTCCGAAATGATTCGTCGCGTCAATGCGTGGTTTAAGTAACAAAAAAGGGTTTTATCCGACAAACGTACATGGAGAAAGAATATATAGTCTATAACACTACTATTAAGGTGTAAAACACAAAATGAGAGTCAACTGCTGTGGTTTCTCGTTATTTACCACACTTAAGCACGTGTTACCTCGCTAGGCCCAAAACATGTGTTACCTGGTCACATACCTCTCTGGACACACCCAATCCAATGACGTCTGTGTGTTACCTGGACAACGCCCACATCAATTCAAAACAAAACTATCTCATTATTTTTTTTAAGGAAAACTGTCCATTTCGCCCTTACGAAGAGAAACACTTGTATTTCTGTCTACTTCAAAACAGTTGAAAAAAATCTTGGAAAGAATGTGTATTTTGCCTCTTATAGAGGCGATTAGTTTCTGAAATCTGTGCTGCATCAACTCGACTTGGAGCAACCCCTCTCTTGGCAGTCGGTCGAGTATGACTTTATTTTTCCCGCGCTCGCGCACGCCCCCGACATTGTAGGCAGGGCTACGGCGGACCGCTCTGCGTGACGCATGATTCTGGTTAAAATAAGCGTATTTGAAACATGCGTGATAAGTTAATGTGCCAAAAATCAGCACCTGTGGGAGCCACCCAGTCCCCTCACATTTTATCACTCCCGACCAACAATTTTCAACAATAAGAGCAAGAAGATAAAGTGGAATGTTTTAACTCTGTGTTTCGGAAAGTCGCAACCATGGAAACGAAATCAAAATAATGACTTCTTACATGTTTAGCATGTCGAATTCCTAAAAGCAACTAATTTTAGAATGCGCCAGGACGGATATGAACTTTGTTCTCCTTGTGAGTGGGTTTAGAATTGACGCTTTGCGCGAAGAAACTCATTCTACGTGGAATTTGGACTGGTTCACAATCGCCATTAAAAACGATCCAAAATT